AGTCCTTCAATGGCTGCGCTCGTTTCTCTCTGGTCGGGGACAGAGGGTGGCGCTTGGGGGGGAACTGTCATCCCGCCACTCCTTGGTGTGTGGAGTGCCTCAGGGTGCGATTCTCTCCCCGATGCTTTTTAACATCTTTATGCGCCCCCTCGCCCAGCTTGTCCGGAGTTTTGGGCTGGGCTGCCATCAGTATGCTGATGACACCCAACTCTATCTGTTGATGGATGGCCATCCTAACTCGGCCCCAGACACACTGATCAGATGCTTGGAGGCTGTGGCTGGATGGTTACGTGGGAGCCGGTTGAAGTTAAATCCTTCGAAGACAGAGGTCCTCTGGCTGGGACGGGACGATATGGGATTGAGGGGGCAACTCCCATCTCTTGCGGGGGTGCAATTAGTGCCAGCACCGTCCGTTAAGAGTTTGGGTGTAATCTTCGATACCTCCCTCTCCATGGAGGCGCAGATTGCAGCTATAACAAAGGCGGCATTTTTTCATCTCCGCCAAGCTAAGCAGTTGGCTCCTTACCTCTCTCGCCCTGACCTAGCCACTGTGATCCACGCGACGGTCACCTCCAGACTGGATTATTGTAACTCGCTCTACGTGGGGCTGCCCTTGAGACTGACCCAGAAACTCCAGCGGGTGCAGAATGCCGCAGCGAGACTCCTTACGGGGTCTTCACTGCGGGATCACATTCATCCGGTGCTATACCAGCTGCACTGGCTCCCGGTGGAGTACAGGATCAGGTTTAAGGTGCTGGTTTTAACCTTCAAAGCCCTACACGGCCTAGGACCCTCGTATCTACGGGACCGCCTCTCCTGGTATGCCCCACAGAGGAACTTACGGTCCTCAAATAAAAACATCTTGAAGGTCCCAGGCCACAGAGAGGTTAGGCTGGCCTCAACTAGAGCCAGGGCTTTTTCGGCTGCGGCTCCAACCTGGTGGAACGCTCTGTCACAAGAGACAAGGGCCCTGCAGGACTTGACATCTTTCCGCAGGGCCTGCAAGACAGAGCTGTTCCACCAGGCCTTTGGTTAGGGCACAGCCTGACTCCCTCCTTTGGCAATCTTTACAATACTTTAGTTTATGGTTGCCATCAATTTTGATTTTAATTAATTCTTATGATGTTTTATAATGTTGCACTATTTTAGTGTTGTTAGCCGCCCTGAGCCCGGCTTCGGCTGGGGAGGGCGGGATATAAATAAAAAATTTATTATTATTATTATTTATTTATACATATCATGTACCATGATGCTAGATCCCACAGGACTCTGAAGAGGACTCAGATGAGTACAAGATTCAGGTCACTTTTCTCAGGAGAGAATATTCAGTAGCTGCTCCTGTGATCTCCTGCCTAGAGGATGTTGACCTACAGCCAACCTTGGACTTAGAAGATGAGACTACTGTTCTTCAACCTTAAGTCCCCAGATGTTGTTGGAATCCAACTCCCATCATTCCCCACCAGTATATCGGACAGCACCTGGGTACCCAAGGTTGAATAGAACTGTTCTAGACCTCACAAAAGCCAAAGGACATAGAATTGGGTGAGGGCCTCTTAAGGAATGTAGCTGTCTCCTTCAAGGAGGTGGGGCTTAATGCAGAATAGGTCTTTCCTGCTTTAGAATGCCTCAGCTAGCTTCAGCTCCCTATTGTGGCAATATCTTTCACAACTCAGCCAGCAAGACCTACTGGGAACTGTCCAGGGTTCTTATTCCTGGATAGAGAGACCTGCCATGACCACCTGTCTGGATTTAACTATACTTGACCCTGCCCAGAACCATATGTCCCCATTTTCCTGGAGTACAAAAATTCCACCCATTTTCAAGGCTTTATAGCTTGCAGGATACTTGTAGAGTTCTATAAATTATGCAGGCAGCCCAAACCTTGGTCTCATCCTCCCTTAGGGAGCAAGTATCTCATTGAGTCATGAGTGGCTTTGAGGAGATGCAGATGGTTTCTGCTCCTTTGAATTTGATTCTCCCATTGAAACACGCCTTTGGGGAGCTCGTTGAGTCGACCAGTTAACCATTTTGAACGGTCGGCATGAGCCAAACCTGAGGTGGCTTTCATAAGAAATCCTCTATCTCTAGTATCACCTTGCTGGCGTTGTGCATGTGCACATGATGCCTGTTCAAATGTCAACATTTCCTAGTCTTAGAAAAACACTTGGGGGAGTCCCTTTGGTAGGGAACTGGCTGGTTGTGGAAGTGTGGGAAATCAAGTTCTTGGGAACCAATGCCTAAATACAAAATGCAGACATATATTAACAGTTATGATTGGTGTGCATGTGAATATATCAGGGCATTTTCCCTTGCAACATACAGGGGAGCCAATGGGAAAGGATTGTGTTATTTCCATGGTTAGTTCTACTCAGAGTAAACCCACTGGACATGGCTAACTTAGGTCCTTTAATTCCAGTTGGCCTACTTTTACTAGAGCTTGGTTGGTGATAACCCTTTGTGACACTCTGTGCATGAATCGGAGACTTATAAATTCAACATACACCAGAGCCTGTGCTCAGCTTCCTCTGGCTCAGCCTGGTGCTTTCCAGATGTTTGGGCTACAACCCCTGTGGCCACTGGCTGAGGCTGATAGGAGTTGTAGTTCAAAACACCTGGAGGGCAGCAGGTTGGGGAAGGCTGGTCTGGGGCAAGGCATGGCAACCAGCACCAGTCATGCAGCTCAGACTGCCTTTATCTGCAGGACTGGGATGGCATGCATAGGATTCAATAGCCACATTTCAACTAGGGATTAAGGACAAGGTGACAAAGGGCACACCATGTTCACCACCTTCCCATAAGTTCAAGATTTCTCCCCTCCCCAACAAATAGGGAGGAGAAGGTGGTATTCAGTGACAGCTGAAACCGCTCCTGTGACTTCCTCCCACCAATGGGTTATGTGGAATACTGGAATATGCTCCAAGATCTGGGTGTTTTATCCTTCCATCTGGTGTCCACATCATTGAAAATAAAATTGGATCCTAAGGGACTTTAGGCCATGTACATAATACAGCTGTTGTCTGGACAAAATGTAAATTTGCAATAACAGGAAAGAATGTGATCACAGATGTACAGAATTTACTTTTCTTTTTCAAAACACTGTTCTCTGGAATGAGAAGTATATTTCCTCCATTTGCCCTCAAACAGGATTCCAGCTCTCCCATAGCATATCAAGGCAGCAGAAGGCACAAGGTCAATGCACTAATAAGGCAAAGGAATACGATTCCCAGCCTAAAAGTTTCCTCAAAGTTTGACCCACAATACTATTCAATGGTTACGAATGACATTGTTGTTGATTAATCCAAAAGTATCTACCTCTTTTTACAACTATCAAATTTTCTACAGTTTTAAAAATGGAGAATATCCAAGAATGATAAACTCTGAGAAAGTTTACTTCAAAACTGACCCTGACCCCCCCCCCCCGAAAAGAAACCCCACAACTCACACAAAAAAGAAATCTCAACGCATCTAAATTTGAAAGGGGAAGAAGGAAAAACCTGGTTTGGTTTTCTTTCTTTCTTTCTTTCTTTCTTTCTTTCTTTCTTTCTTTCTTTTATAGAAAAGCAAGAATTCCCAGAAAGTAACCTGTAATTTAGACAGTTAGCTTTTGTGGGTTTTAAAAACTGTAAATAGTGTAGCACAGTTTGGCAGTAATTGGTACAATTGCTTATAGACCACACAGCATGTCTACTTCAGCTACTCACAGAATGTGGATATCTGGTGGTAATTTACACAGCTTAAAGGGAGCTATTTAAATACTGTGCCTTGGCTTAGTTTTACTGCTAGTGGTAAACATTCTAGACAGAGATGGTGGACAGCATATGAGCTGTAATTCATACTTTGGACAGAAAAAAGTTAATAAAATACAAGCAAAACAGAAAAGTAGAATGAGAAGCAATGTTGCAGATAAAACAATCAGTCAGGTTTAGCTTGGGTCATGAACTAGAAAATCCATTGGTTCATGCCCCTGTAGAGAAAGTTTGATGCAATGAAGACAGATGAATATGTGGGGAGGGAGCATTTTTCTTTTCTCTCTCATAGAATCAGAAAGTTGGAAGGGACCCCATGGGTCGTCTAGTCCAACCCCCTGTAATGCAGGAATCTCAGCATGCAGTCCCCCATCCAATTTGAAACCATACTGGACCCTGCTTAGCTTTACAAATGTGCTAGCAGTTTTTATTGCAGATTGATTTCTGTTCTGGGCGATGAAATGCTATTTGCTCCTGGTCATCACCACCACAGGGGTTGGTACAGTCCATAAAGGTGCTTTGATTTGGACATGATCCAAACTAGCCCTGATTAATACACTTTCTGTCTCTGCTTCCTTGGAACATGCAAATCAGCCCTGTGGGTGCTAGTCATCTAGGGCAAATGGGCTCTGCCCCACCAACCTCACAGCCTGCCTGCCTGCCTTTTTTCTTACAATGGCTTGTGGCATTGATCGTCAGCTTCCTCCTTCGTAGAACACAGCAGGGAGGAGGATGGGAACAAATGCAGAGCCAGTTGGTACCGCCTGTCATTGTCTCGGCCTCTGCCTCCAGTTGGCCTCCCTGCCTTCCACCCTGTCTCAGTCTGCACCACTGGTGGTGCCTTAGCAGGTCTGCTGCAATCTCTGCTCACAGCTATTTGCTTTCTGGAGTTCCCTGCTTTTGAATGGCCTGATCAGGCATCTGTGGAAGTTTTACTATTGCTTAGGCTTTCAAAGCATGGGAGGAGAAAGGTGATTCCCCTTAAAGCTGAGGCGGTCAAGTCTCCTTCTCTACGAGGGTTGTGGAAAGGCAAATTTCTTCCCACTCTGATGTCTCCAGAATTTTACAGGTGCAATGATGTGCCGCAGGCTATGACCCACCTGTAGCAAGCCTTTGCAGCCATTATGGACTTCACTTCGGAACCTGGTACAGATCCCATTGTCCAAGTCAGTTTTCAAATCCCTTTTAGAGCCATTTCAAGTGCACCTACCCTGTCCTTTACAGAGAAAACCCCATGACTGATTTTTTAAAATTATGTTTGCACTGTATTCCATTTCTCCAGAAATGTTTGCATCATTTCCAATCAGGTCTCTCTGATCCACCAGTCTTTTATTTCATCTTCCTTGATTTCTTGTTCTTTGTTTTTCAGAAGAGGCAAAGAAAAACCCTGCTTCTGGAGCCATCTGGTTCTATGGTGCATCTTGTTCAATCTCACAGCCATAGCACTGAGATCTGTTGCCAGATTCTGAGACATGCTCTCCACTTAGGATGGCCCCCAATTAATGCATCTGTACAAAGATATACTAACTGGGGGCTTGCCCTTCCCTCCCAAGATGATCCAAAATGTTGCACTGGTTGCACTGGCAACAACCTCTGCCATCCTTAGCTGCAGAAACGCAGAATTTTGAAGCATTATGAAATCAGAGATTTCGCTAAAGACTGGTGGGGCGGCTTGGCTCAATCTATGCTACACCCTAATGTATTTTGGCAACCGTGGAGCTGAACAGGCAACAATAGTGCCTCCCAGTGTACCTAATACATGACAGGAACATGTTTCAGTGTGCAGCGGCATAATGCTGAATGACAAGCCCACAACTGCTTAAGCATATTTGAAAATTCTGCCTCTGATTTCAAGAGGGATATGAAAAGCAGATTGGGTTGATCTATGACATTTGATCTTCCACCATTTATAAGTGGCAATACTATTTTGGAGAGGTACAGATTCTTCCTGCTCTGGAAGGTGTGCTTGTCACTTCTAAAAAAGGAAAGTGTCACATCAGAAGTGCAGACTAGGAGAGAAACAGATTGTTGCAGGTGAGGGTCTATTTAGAGTTCATAAAATAAATTTGTGTTCAGGTAGGAAATAGATAATAGTGCTTGGGTACTTATTCATGAACTTTATAGATGCCTGTGGGAAACCAGCAAGCAGGATTTGAACACAAGATCATGGCTAGTAGCCATCAATAGCCTTCTCCTTCATTCTAATTCTCCAGTCTAATTCTCTTTTAAAGCTATCCAAATTGGTGGCCATCACTGCCTCCTGTGAGTGTTGCAAGTGAATGAGGTTATAAACGAATGAGGTACTGTGACTGGACAGTGGAAGTCATGTTTAGGCCATGCTGCCCCAGAAGCCACTCCCTCTGTCAATGGGTGGGCAGAGAACACTTGATGGTTCTTAGTGGGGAAAACTCGGGCACTCTGCATGTGTTTAAAGGCACTCTTTCCTTCATACATGCTGTACAAGCCCTGCTGTGGGAAGAGGGATGGGGTTCAGAAATTTCAGTCCACCACCTCAAATCAAGCTGAACTACCAAGCTGGGGGAGCGGGGCAGGAATGGAAGTCCATCAGCACAAGAGAAGAACGAGCAAACAAATCTTCTGCAACAGAAGTTAAGAGGTACAAATGGTAATGTGTGAGATCTTCCTCTCCTTGGAGTGACAGGCACATCTTCCGAATGTGGCACCTTTTAGTCTGTCTGATTCAGAATTTACAGAACTTCCCTACTATGTCTTGCTATGCGCTTCTGGTGAAGTTGCTTGTGTTTTAGCTAAGGCCCTCCGCCACCTATTTCCTTGCATTGCTCTCTCTGTTCTCACAATGCTTGAGGACTAATATACACATTACTAGAGTAGCCACTGTTTCCCTGTGATTGATTTCCATGTTGCTCTGATCGTGTTCAAATGAAGAAATCCCACTGGGATGGGCAGGCAGAACAGTAAGTAACTGCATTGGCGCTATACCTCATTGAGGGTTGATAGCACTGGTGTGGTTGCATTGCACATGACCCATCTGTTCCATGCGATTCCTTCATCCAGACAGCACTGGAACTGCGTTGGATTCAGCCGTGCCACTTTGTTGACATATTCAGTAGGTCTATGGGCCAATTCAGGCATTCAGCAGACTCCATTGGTCATGTTTCCCTTGTGGTTGTGATGGCTGGGTTTACATAGTTCAATTTTCCCGCTCACCACCTATATTAAACTAACACACTACGGAGAAGATTTAGGCTAGCCTTTCCCCTGACATACTACCTTTCCATGTGCTGAGAACCATCTTTTGGTGGAGGAACGTTCCAATATTCACGTAACTGAGGTGGGTTCCATAGTCTACGCCAACTTTACATGTGTTTATTCATAAATCCAATCTGTTCCTGTTCCGTATTAACCTGTCTTTTAAAAAAACAAAACTGCACAAGAATTTGTATTTCGGTGGTATTTTGATATGGATTTCAATATGCATTTCATCACAAAATATTTAAGTATGTATTTTGTCTCAATGTATGTGTTTTATTCTAAAATATGCATTATTAAATGCATTTTGGTATCACAAAAGTTCAGAACCTGAAGGGTAATTATGGCCCCATCCACACAAAAATTGCTGCAGATCAGGTTAGAGCCACCAGAGAGTCAGAGCAGACAATGTTGAGATAGATTATTAGACTGACGGGGTTGTATCCAAGAAAGTTGTCCTGTTAGTAGACGGACTCCCAGAAGCACAACAGAACCTCCTTCCCTTCCCTCCTTCCTGGGCATCCCAAAATCTGCTCTGGAGGGTTGGGGAGGAACCCCAAACAGGTTTTGGGGAAACACCTGAGGGAAGGAGAATGAGGGGCAACTCCATTCCACTTTGTTAGATACAACTTATTGTCTGGTGGTGACATAAGACAGCTTTGAAAGTTTGTGTGCTAAACCTCTCGTACTGCAAGCTGCAATGGACCAGTCCAGGAAAGATGCCGCCACTTGTATCTGCCACATCTGCCATAGTGTCTTCTGAAATCTTATCTCCAGGATTGCATTGGTAGAGAATACTTTAGGATTTGGCCCTACTGTTTTGACAGTCGCCTGCTTATAGGCAATATGACACTGTTTTCCAAACCTGGGTTTTCAAGGTCCTAAGAATGCTGTCGCCAGGATGCTTTGGGTTCTGAATTACCATTGCCATCCTTCTCGTTTCCCCTACCTGCCCACCCACCTCCACCCCAATGGTACCTCACTGACCATTCCATTCCTAAGTGAGTGACATGCAATGTGGAGGCATGCTTCTGACGCAGGCATGCTACTACAACATTAACAGGCTAAAAAGAAAAAAGGAAAGGAAAGGGGGTGGGGAAGAAAAGGATTTTTTTAAAAAAGAAGAAGAAGAGAGAAATTAAGCATTAGCTCATTAAGGATATATAAAGAAATGATTCGAAAACTCGCTTTTGGAGCAGCACTAACACAGAGACTGATTACAAACTAAATTGTGCTATATATCAGTATATATATAAAAAAACATTGTTTTGTAAGAATGGCACTGGTTCAAAAGAATTGGGACTTCTACCTTGGTTCCTTTTAAGTCCACAGTGAAAGTATAGAAATACAGGCTTGCCCGGTTGCCCGGCAACTCGTGACGCTTGTGGGTGGGCTGACCCCCCCTCCCTTCCCCATCTCCCCATGCACACATTCACATACGTTCTCTGCTTCCCTTTTTAACATCTTCCTAACAGGATGCAAATGGAGAGGAATCTGAAAAGCAGGTAGAATCGCAGCCAGAGGATCGTCTGAGTCAAGCCTGGTCTGGAGGGGGTGGGGGCATCCAAAATATCCCACACTCTGTCTTGCATCTTGGTCACAAGTTTGGAAGTTCCCTCCTCTACACACTTGGGGGACGAAAAAACGGTCCTTTTTTAAGGATCCTCTTCTCCCGTTGAAACCATCAGGCGCATGGCAACAGGCAGGTGATCAGTTAAGCCTGCCAGCTGAGTAATGAAACTGAACTCTTCCACTTCCTGCGGAGGAACAGCAAAAGAAATGATTTTTAAAAAGAGCTCTATGGTGTGTGTGTGTGTGTGTGTGTGTGTTTGTGTTTGTGTCCGCCACTTTTAAGGTTTCAGATGAAAATAAACATATCAGAAGAGCCTGGATCAGGCCAAAGACCCAAATAGCAGTGCTCTGTTCTCATAGTGACCTACAGAATTCTGCCCACCTGTGGGTCCCAGGAACTGCTCTTCAGAGGAATCCTGCCTCTAACAGTGGGATGAGAACATTGCCATTGTGGCAAGTACCTGCTGATAGCCTTGTATTCCATGAATTTATCTAATCCTCTTTTAACGCTATCCATATGGGTGACCACCTTGACTTCTTGTGGGAGCGAACTCCACAGTTTAACTATTTGCTGTGTGGGGAAAGTCCTGTCTTTTGCCTGACCTGAGTCTTCTGACATTCAGTTCCATTGGCTGATTCTGAGTTCTAGAACGATGATGCCCTGCCTACAGTATGGCTGAAGCAAAACAAAACAAAACTGGGCGTCCTCCCAGGGGCATCTTAACGTAATGGGATCCCATCAGAGGGTGACTGTTCATAGTGAGCCTTGGGAATGCTGCTTGAATCAAGAAGCATTGTCCATCACAGCTGATGCCAAATTCTGACATGCAGAACTGTTATCAGTATGCCTGTTCATATGTGACTGGGCTTACCACTTTCCACTCTAGATAGAGTCCTTCTTCAGTGTAAAGCATGTAGTCAATTCGCCTCCCGTTCCCCTTCAAAGCTCTCTTCCTCCCCTTCTGACTTGAAGGATGGGTCTTGCTGGTAGGAAAGACAATATAGGCTTTTCGCCCTTCTTCACTTTCCATTGTCCTGGTTAAACACACACACACACACACACACAATGGTTTATTATGTGTCAGATCTACATCTGTGTCATCCACTGTTCTAACAAATTTCAAATGGGTTCCCAGTTTTTGGTGGCGGATGCTTTACTGGAGATAGCAAAGGTATAAGATCTTCTATTTCTGAAGTTTCATTTTATATCGGTAATTTCCACTTAACTACGCAAAACTATGGAATAGCATATAAATACACATTACAATTCTCACACACCCAATATCAACAAATTATCTCATGTGCATTGTTGTTGTTGTTGTTATTGTTATTCTAAAGTGCCTAATGTTTCCTGAGAACTGTACAATTCTTTAAAAATAAGATATAAGTTGGTCCATCTAGCTAGATTGTCTATACTGACTGGCAGTCAGAAACCTGGTTTCAGGCATAAATCTTTCCCCATCCTACCATAGCTGTCAACCGTCCCTTATTTGGCGGGAAACTCCCTTATCCCAGCACTGTTTCCCACTGCTGTCCCGGATTGATGATGTCCCTTAAATTTCCCGGGTTACAAAGGAAGCAGCTCCTCTCCCTCCCTCCCTGCCGGCCAGGGAGGAGGGAGGCTCCAACTGTGTTGCTTGGCTGCGTTGTGACGGTGTTTTTCCTTGCTGCATCCCCTTTGCTGGGTTGCTGCGCTGTGGGATCCACCTCTTGAGGCTTTGTTTTGCTGCTGGTTGACTAAAATCCCTTATTTTGGCTGCTGATCCCTTATTTTTGAGGCTGCTGGTCCCTTATTTTCAAATCTGTAAGTTGACAGCTATGCATCCTACCTAGAGATAATAGGGGTTGAACCTGGGACCTTCTGCATGCAAAGCAGATGTTCTGCCACTGAGTTCTGATTCTTGTATCCTTTGACAATAAAGTATGCCTCTCTTTGGCTGTCCAGTTCTGGCGGAATGGGCAGTCAAAGCAGTATACTTCCCTAGATGTTTACTCAGAAGTATCTCACTGAACGCAATGTGGTTTACTTCCAAGTAAGTGTGCATAGGATTATTGACAATTTGTGGTGAATCATGGGCTTATTCTTCAAATAGTAGTCTTGGATTGAAGATCCACAGTTGGCCTTTGTGAATAAGACACACACCAAAGTTACCAGACTATACCATCAATTATTTTGGAAATGAGAGAGATGAAATCTTGATTTTTCCACAGAAGAAAAGGAGACACCAGTTGTCAAGGCCTGTGGCTCCTTTTCAGGAAACTTAAAAGCATATGAAAATAATTGGTACAATTGATTCTTATTACCCAGCCTTTATCAACCTTTAAAATGTAAAATCCACTTTTAACATGTTCTGAAGTATTATCTCTGGAGACCTAAGTCAATTGACACTAGCTTGCTTCTGATTAATTTCAGTATCAAGGAATCAATACTTATCAATGATCCCTGGATGCAATTTTTTTTAAAACTGCAAAGAGGGAGGTTCATTTCTATAAAGATGGTGGTTCAAATATGGACCGTTGTATAATTAATTGTCTTCAAAAGTACCACAGACAAGACATTTTTCAGACTGCTTAGGTGGGGGGAAACTCATGGAATTTTCATTTTTTTAAATGAAAGAGCTGTGGCTCTGACAGAATTGACCTCTGTTGAAACACCAGCAGATTATCTCTGCTTCATAATAGCAAATTAAGCAAGAAGCTGAGAAAAGTGGCTTGGGTGTGTGCAACACATTTCGCCATATTTCCTGCAATATATTAATTTGAAAAATGGCTGTGTTCTATGGTGCGGTTACTTTATATAAATGGTGGATTTAAGAATGCTTGGAATCCCTTTGCGCATTGTAATTTCTGCCTCCCACCACTCTTCTGCATCCAGCCAGCCCATGAAAGACTTTTACCTTTGCACAATGAGTTACATGTGCTACGAGAGACCTATGCATTTAACTGAGAAGGGAGCATCAGACTGAAACTTTCTAGGGGGCCACCCAGGCTGGCTGCTTCAGTTCACAGTTGTTTTTGAAACTGCGAATTAGGTTAAGTTCACCTTTAAATGCAAACTGAATTGAATTTCTCCCCCATCCATACTCAAATTACCACCCCGGCTGCTTTTCTTCCCAGGACATAAAATATATGTGTCTACATATTTCCACTGAGATTTAAAATCTACCTATCTATTGACTGCCCTGCCTGTATTCCCCCCTTTTCTCCTCTAGAGGAAACAATCTTTGTTGGTCAGTCAACAGAAAGAAGCTTGGGTTCTGGATGCCACAGAGCTGAAAATTATGCCTATGGCACCCTGGAAGTGACACTTCCCACCTTTCAGTTTCTTGACTGCACCATGATGGCAGGGGAAGAGTTTCCCTTTCCTCATGAAGTTTCAAATCCAGCCACACAATAAGAGGCACAGGGGTTTGCGGGTGCAGACAATTAGCTGATTGGCAGCACTACACACTCCACTGTTGGGGGAGAGCTGCAGCTTTACATGCCCCACATAATGTATGACTTTAGGTGCCGGGCAGGTGAGCATGGTTTTGGGGAAATGGTCTCATGGGCCAAATTAGGACCCCTGGCAGCCAGCCCCCATTAAGCCCATGGACCAGAGATTCCCCACTACTGGTTTATACTAACTGGCAGTGGCTCTCCAGGGTTTGGGGCGGGAGCTCCCAGGGCAGAATTTGAGACCAACTGCGCACAAGGCAGATGATTTACCACTAAGCTAAGGCTGTCCTTCCCCACTGCATCCACTATAGTATGTATTAAAAGTAGCTGTAAAGTCCTCCAAAACCACCCTGTCACAAAAGTAACTCCATCTCTCCGATACCACTGAAAAATTATGTAGTTCGGAAAAGTGTGCCACTTCAATCTCAGTGACATCCGCCATGATAATCAGTATAAGGAACTGATAAATTGCCCTTTTGGTGCCAAAGATTGTCTGGGCTGATAGACTATAACCTGACTGTATACAACATTGTGACAGCTTTAGACCCGCAATAAAACTTGACAGATAGGCAGGTGACCGCCCCTTTGAATAGTGGATTGGTATTAAGTGAAAGAGACCAACAACCAATCCACCCTAGGTCTGTGAATATCTTAATTAAATGGCCGTTTCTTCACTAGTTGCCCTAACAGTAGCCTATTAATCAAGTCAGAGGTGGAGGCACATTGTGACTAAGTAGCAACGGTGTTTATTGATCTTTTAAATAAGGAAATAGGTCCATGTAGTCACTCTTATTGATGTATTTAATAGTGCGGGCTTCTTAACTTTATTAATAGATTTCCAGAGGTTGGTGCTGGAAGTCTAATGGAAGCCTAATTTACTGGGCTCTTTCCAGAACTATTGATGCCAGTATAAATAGGGTGATAAATTAGTTTCTATAGCTTGGGCAAATTTTATTATTGAAGAATTTCCACAAGAGTCCATTCTAAACCTCATCTAGTTTGTCAATGACAATAGCAATTTCAGATGGGTATCATTTGCAAGCTCTTCAGCAAGTTTTCTTTTTAAAGATGACATTACAATTTGAGAGCTGCTTGACAGCACATCAATTACGCATGGGGATTAAATGCCAATCAAACAAGGTGTCTTGAAAGACCAAGAGGAACTGGACTTAAAATAAATGAGAAGTTGGCTTTCAAAAGTGCTACAGACCACAAACTTTGTGAGTGCTTACTTTTTTGCCTTAGGGCCTGTGGAATTTTACTGCATTTGATTTTGGGGTGGGGGGGGGGAGGTCAGTTTGCACTGTGGCAAATCCTACATGCCAGAGTAGAACGGAAATGAGCTCTAGGCCCTCCAGTCTGGACCAACACAGGGACTGTTCACCCTGCCCTGGATTCAGCCCCAAATCAATCTGGAGGTGAGGGTAAAGGTAACGGTAAAGGGACCCCTGACCACTAGGTCCAGTCGTGGATGACTTTGGGGTTGCGGCACTCATCTCACTTTATTGGCCGAGGAAGCCGGTGTACAGCTTCCGGGTCATGTGGCCAGCATGACTAAGCCGCTTCTGGCAAACCAGAGCAGCGCACGGAAACACCTTCCCGCCGGAGCGGTACCTATTTATCTACTTGCACTTTGATGTGCTTTTGAACTGCTAGGTTGGCAGGAGCAGGGACCAAGCAACGGGAGCTCACCCCATTGCGGGGATTCGAACTGCCGACCTTCTGATCGGCAAGCCTTTTATTTCAGGGGTACTCAAGGGTACGCAGTACCAGCACCTCATTTTTTGTTGTTAAAAAGTGTGGCACTTACTGTAACAACTTCATGGTGGGTACTGGCACCTACTGGGTGAAAGCGAAGAAAGAGACACTCTCTCCCACCCACCACCACCACTGAAAACACCATTCAAATTATAAAAGCAATACTCGTTGGTGGTGCAGATTTAAAAAGCAGCCACCATACTGTATAAGCAGAGAAACAAGGTGGTACTTACTTCTGCAGGTTATCTGCTGTGCACACTTCTTCATCGTATAGTCCTTCTGGATCTAACAAGGTACCTAGGAAAAGAAAGGAATTCATGGGTCTCCTATCAACCTTGGCTTTCTCCCTAATGGATGTAGACTAGAGTCTGTATACAGTACTGAGTTGCGTTGCTGCTTCCATATATGATGCCAGTTTTTAGTTAGGTAAAGGCGCAGCTGGGCCAGGAGGGGGTTTGTTCATGCCAACCAACTGGTTGGCAGCACCTGCCAAGCCCTGTGAACAGCTCTTTGCCGCCATCTTTAGTTCCCTCTCCATCTGAAATGTCATGCCGCTGTTTAAACTTAAATACAATGAGGGTTGGGGAAGATAAATAAAACCATTGTTCTTGTTACACCGTGAGTGTGTGTTTTGATGTTTTCTTAATCTTCTTAAGCATATTTTATACTACAGCAGAGCAGCTTGTCAAATTCTGAAGGCTGAAACAAAAATCGCGAGAACTATGTGAATGGGTTGTGAATTGAACTGAAATGGAAATTCTTTCCTGTCCAGAGGAAATGAACTAATTCCTTTTGGAGGGGGTGAACTGGAACGGATTAATGAGCTTTTCCCCCAAGCACTGCTCCCAACCCAAGCCCAAGGTCACAGCAGCATCCCTTACCAATTGCCCATGATTTGTCCTCCCCTGGACCAAGCCGGCATGGGTCCTTGTAGCGTGTAAACAAGGAATGCTGCTGCTCCAGCTTGTCATCTGCAGCGAGAACACAAAGGACCAAGAATAAGGACGTCAGTGGCATGCGAAGAAAGGCAAGGGCAGGGGGAGGCAGGGCTGAGCAGCCTGCAGCCCTCCTGATGTTGCTGGATTGCAACTCCCAGCAGCCCCAGACAGCTCAGGCAATGGTCAGGGAATAAAATCTAGAGGCCACAGCTTGAGAAACCAGAGGCCACACCGTGGGCATTCCTCACTCATCCTGGATTTATATTGCATTGCATTTACTTGGGGCTGCCCTATGTCTGGATTTTCCTGTACGTCACTGGGATTTCAAAGGTGGAAGGGCAATTTCCGAAATGCAGCAATTTGTCCTGTATCTTAGGCAAGTCAATCTAAAATTTGTGGGGGGTTTTGGTGTTTTTGTTTAAAAGAAAGTTCAACAACTTTCAGGTCTTCCTAAAAAACCTCACCAATTTTGGGGGTTTCCTTTAAAAAAAAAGCTCAACAATTTCAGTGGTTCCTTTAAAAAAGCTTGGGGTGTCCTCGTTTTTACTTTTTGAAATATGGCAACTCTAACTTACTCCCACGCCACTTAATACCAAGGCAGTCTCTAAGCAATTCATTAAAACATGGAAGAGTTGTATCTAACTAAGTTTTATGCAGAGTAAGCCCATTGAAATTAATGGACCTGCACTAGATCCCAAGACCTGCACTGCACCCAAGTATGACTAGCAGTGGATAAAGCCCACACTATACACTTTTCTTTTCCTCTTCCTTACTCCAATGTAGATCTCTCTAGACCTGTCAATTATTCCTTGGGGTTGGACTGATCTTTAGATTGGCTAAGGCAGGCAGCTAATTCAAGCAGTCAAAAATGGTGAATTTTATTGCTGAAGTTTGCTGGGAAAGGGGAATTATTTGGAAATGCCATTTGAAGGCATAAAATTGTCTTGTTAAGTTTTGGGCAATTGTTTATTATTTATTCATTATTAAATTTCTATACTGCCTGTCATCTAAAGATCACAGGGCAGTTTACAATATAAAAACACAAAAATACTTACCATGAAAACAACACACACACATACATACATACAAACACACACACACACACACACACACACACGCCCCTGATTAAAAGGCCATAGATTGTTTAACTAGCTAGTGGCTGGGGGAAAGGTGTGTTTTTGACTGGCACCTAAAGATATGTGGTGAAGGCACCAGAGCATTCCACAAATGATGAGCCACGGCCAAAAAGGCCGCTCTCATGTTGCCGCCCTCTGGACCTCTTGCAGAGGAGGCACATGAAGAAGGGCCTCAGATGATGATCATAGGGTCCAGGTCAGTTCATATGGGGAGAGGCCCATACGAGGTTTATGCAGTTAAACTTTTTCATCCCATTCTGCTTTAGATCTAACCCTGTGCAAACACCTGAAACCTATGATGCCTCTTAATCATTTTTCTGCATCTCTCCTGGAAGAAAAGAAAAAAGAATTTCTTTTTGCTTCTCCTGGGGGAATCCCACAAGTGGCTGCCACCGGCACTAATGATGTCATTTGTCACTGTCTATTGTCAAGGCAACACAATCCATAAATGCGAGGCTTTTAAAAAGCGGTAAGGAAAAGAAGAAAGAAGCCAAACTGCTAAAAATAAAACAGTGCTTTGAAGGTTATGCCGATCAGAACAACTGGCCAGGGTTCACACCTCTCCATCTTTTCTTATAGAGCAGTGACCTGATTTGCATCCAGGTATCTAAGGGTGGGGCCAAAAAAAAAGGTTGCCAAAAAGTAGCTCTCTCGGTCTCATGCCAATTTATTATTGTCCATCACAGGCACTGACTCTTAAGGGCTGAGGCAGTCTTGGGCCCCTGAATGTATCTTTTTTAGGGGGCCTGGCCCCCTCAATGCTCAGAGGACATTTGGCTCTGCCCACTGGCTCCTCGCAACGTTGTGTTGGGCCACCTAAAAAATATGGATAAGCTGGAGCCTCTGTTGTCCATCAGTGCTGCTAACAATGATACCAGAGGCTATAAATGGCTTCTAGGGATGGGGGAGATTTTTTGTTCAGTTCACGTTTAAAGGAAATTCGCACTTTCCAAAACAATATGTGAGCTGAAACACAGCACTCCTTCAAAATTTTCACATCATCCAATTTTGTTCTCATCTTGCCTTGGAAATGGCAAATGTGGCAAGTTGGCCATGAAATGAGAAACGAATCAAATTTCTCTCCATCTCTATTACCAGCTACACCGACTCGAATCTTTGTAAATCTCAGTAAGCTAAAAATTTCTCCAAAAAGAGATTTCTAGGAAACCTTATGGAGAATTTCACCCTTTGGATATTCAGTGAAATCCACCCACTCCCCATTTTGCTGCCTGCAAAGAGCATGGAGAATTTAAAAAGGCCTGCCCAGTCCTTGCAGTAGCCTAGCTTCTGTTTATTGATTTGGCCATTAATGCCTGTCTTTCTATGATAAAGTCAAGTGTAAGGTGGTTTACAAAGAAAAGACGCAGCACAACTAAATTAAAAGCAAACTGAAGAACAGAATGAGCAGCAATAAATCAGCATCATTTCATATTATCTCTGTTTATTTTAATAAATTAACCCCATTTATTAAAAAGCATTGCTTTCTCCAGTGATTCAGTATAGCTCTGCTTCACCCTTGTTTATCCCAGTACGTTGTCATGAACTTCACACTAGGAAGGAGAGCAGGGAATAATTAGGAAAAAAGGAGGGTGATGAAGAAGAGGAGGGTAAGGACCAGTGGGGTTCCAGGCACAACACAGTGTTGGCCAACAAAGGCTGGTCCATTAGGATGAATGGGGCACTGCCCCACCAACCTTGGTCTATCACCAGCCAGCCTACCCCTGTCTGCCTTCTTACAGTCCGGGGGTGACACTAGCTGCCAGCTTTGCTCTCCTTAATCTCAGTGTTTTCTTTAGCAGGGAGGAAGATAGGGGTAAAAGTAAAATTAGCTCTGCCTGCCACTGGCTCTGGATTTATCTACTCTTTACTGGATTTCTCTGCCCTTTGCCCCACCAGTCCCAATGGGCACCAACCACCACGGGCAAAGGTGGATTTGGGGCAGTGCAACCAGCACTGCTGTGCTGTGCACCGAGCGTAGGGCTTAGCAGCTTAAAATACATCAAGCAAATAAGTGGCTGTCTCACCTGATGAGCAATTGTCAAAGTTGAGATCTCCACAGAGTACATCAAATGCCACCAGCTCCTCTGGATTGGCTGTGCTGGAGGAGGAGGTAGATTTTCTGAAATCAGCCAGCCAATCCTGAAGCAGATCCAGTTGTTCGCATCGAACAGTACTGTCCCCTGCAGGAAGCACAAAACAAGGGTTCTGGAGCAATTCCAAGTTTCATTGTATTTATTGTGGTGGTATCTTAAGCTACTAGACCATAAGATGCAATTCTAAAATAAGCATGTTGGAGTTCCTTCAAATGTAAACAGCCACAGATTTCCCATCCCTGGAGTAGAATGTGGCTTTAAAAGCATTTTCAATGAAAGCCAATGGGCAGACTTTCTTTGTCTCTTTCTTTTAAATACTTCTTACCCACTTTAGATGAGCCAGATGGACCAATGGTTTAACTCAGTATAAGACAGCTTCCTACATCTGATCATGGGATTAAGGGGGCAGCTTTGTTGGGTAAGGACGAAAGAGCTCAGTGGTTGAGCATCTGCACATGGTCCCAGGTTCAGTCCCTGGCACCTCTAAGTAGGGATGAGAGAGACCCCTGCCTGAAAATCCTGGAGAGCTGCTGCCAGTCAGTGTAGACAATACCGAGATATTTGGACCAATGATAGATAGATAGATAGATAGATAGATAGATAGATGATAGATAGATGATAGATAGATAGATAGATAGATAGATTAGATAGATAGATAGATTAGATAGATAGATGATAGATGATAGATAGATAGATAGATAGATAGATAGATGATAGATAGATAGATAGATAGATAGATAGATAGATAGATAGATAGATAGATAGAGCAGCTTCCCAACTGCTCAATCAACTGCTCCTGGCAAGGGAGCATGTTTGTGCAAAAGAATGAAAGTACTCAGCACAACACAAGGAACACAGGAACCTGCTTATACTGGACCAGACCATTGGTCCATCTGGCTCAGTTTTACCTATGCTGACTAGTAAGATTTCTCCAGTTCTATCAGGAGATGTTGGGGATTAAACCTGGGACCTTCTGTATACAAATCAGGTGCACTACCAAAAGGGTTGGGGAGAAAGTCCTTTTGGTTATGCAGCTATAAATGGAAACTGAGCACCTACACTTGGCGGTGGCAGCGTTCCATGCAGTGGAAAGGGGCAGGGGGAGATTTCACATATGCCTTTGTTTATCTAGTGAGGTCCAACTGATACTCTCCAAGGGCTCTGCCAGTTTTGCATCATCAGGTAGCTGCCCCTCACTTTTGCAATTTGATTTATGGCACGGTGTGTCTGTGTGATGCAGAAGCCGTAAACGTCCTTGCTTGACTTCCTTACCTCATCCATCATTCACACCATTCTGTTCAAAGATAATTTGGAGCTGGCTTGGAAATTTCCCTTTTGAATCACCAATAACGGCACGCATGTATGCGATATGCTATATATGTTTTCATTAGCTCAGGCTCAACCGCTTCCCATCTAGTGTTTTCAGTTATTCAATATCTGTTGGCTGGTTTTAGGCAAGGAAAAAAATATAGATCTACAAAATTTGTGACTGAAGGCACAAGGGGGTATTGAATGAGTAACTTTTAGCTACCCAGTGTGTCATGTGCCTTATTCGCTGAGCCACCAGGGCAACTCTCCACAAGAGGAAGCCACTGACTACTATTTCTCCCAACTGCAGACAGTCAGAAGGAGGTACTGCTGCTCAATGATTTAGAGCAGGCTTCCTTAACCTTGGCCCTCCAGATGTTTTTGGCCTACAACTCCCATGATCCCTAGCTAGCAGGACCAGTGGTCATGGATGGTGGAAATTGTAGTCTCAAAACATCTGGAGGGCCGAGGTTGAGGAAGCCTGATTTAGACATTGTGAAGTGACACAAGGGGCAATGGGATTTGCCCTGACTTAAAAAATCCAACTCCAGCCTGGATCTACAACTTGAGAAACAACATGTCTCTTGAGTAAAGGCCAAATTGCTAGCAGACAAAGTTGGTTACTCAAACGTTAAGGCCTCCAAGTTAAATGGGACTTGCTTCCCATGGATTGGGATTGGGTTCTGAGAGCCCTGACACTCTCAGTGGAAAATGGTCTTTTTAATTTTTGAGTTGCTGTGTTGCTGTCTGGTTTTATTTTATTTTTTAATCTGAACACGCAGTGTTGGTGCTAAACATAATAGGAGTGATTTTTAAAATTCATATCTACAACTCAAGCAGCAAATCAAAAGAAGTCACTGTGAAGAATGCAACAGATCACTTTTGAATAAAGTATAATTGAATGAGGCAGAGGGTTGGGGTGGATTTCTCAGTTCTGATTTGTAAGTTTCCACCAGACTGGCTGTAACCAACATCCTGCTCTGCTTTTCTTTCTGATTTCCAGTGGATAATTCCTATAGATTATTTTGTGACATTTTTGTTTATTTATTCAAACGAAAGAAACATCTATTCTATTTACTTGATCTTTTTTATTGAAATGAAATGTTTTCATGCCGCTCAGTTAGTTAATTGCATATCATGTTCTTATTGTTGCATGGTTTCATTTGACAGGGTTTCTTGCCCTGCAAGGCTATATAAAAATACTGGGTGGTGTTAAACTAAGTTTTACTAAGAGCAGACCAACTAAAACAAATGGGCCGAACTTAATGTTCATTAATGCCAATCAGTCTACTCTGAGTAAAACTTACTTGACCCATATCCACTTAAATTAAATAAAATATTAAATGCATATGAGTGGAGTTTGTTCTTTTGCTCTTTGCTGGGAGCTTTTTGTCGCCCTTTTATTTAAAGCATGTGGTTTGTGTGTAAGAGATTTATATTTATGGTTTGCACTTAAAGGGGAATCAACCGGATTCGCACTTTCTAGAACAATCCGCAAACACAGCCATCCTTCAAAATTCACATTTCTCTGAATTTTGCAACACAGTTCTCCAACCGAGTGCACAAAAAATGCATATGCTGGTGAGAAATGAGCATAAAAATACATGCTAATGACAATAACATACAAAATTGCATTTTATTAGGGAAAATTACTTTGCAGAAATGTGTATATCAAGGGAAATTTGTTCTAAGAAGAGTTTGGATTTGATATCCCGCTTTATCACTACCCCAAGGAGTCTCAAAGTGGCTAACATTCTCCTTTCCCTTCCTCCCCCACAACAAAAACTCTGTGAGGGGAGTGGGGCTGAGAGACTTCAGAGGAGTGTGACTAGCCCAAGGTCACCCAGCAGCTGCATGTGGAGGAGCGGTGACACAAACCCGGTTCACAAGATTACGAGTCCACCGCTCTTAACCACTACACCACATGGCTTTCTAAGGATCAAAGGGTTGGGGGGGGCAAATTGATGTGGAAATGGAATGTGGACAATGGAATTTCATTTTGGGAAAATGAGAAACTGAAATGGATAGATTTTCTCATGGTTGGTGGCGGGTCTTCCCCCTGCTCATGATTTTCAATTCAAAATCACCTCCAACACATTTTCTTAGTTAAGAGCAGCTCCAAGGAGGTTATGGGCTGACAAAGGATCTCCACTTCTGCTTTAAGTGCTGACTCCACTGTCCCCAACACTATTCTTCTGCTACTTCTTTTTCAGGAAGTACAGCTCCTGCTTCCCAGAATGCAGCACCGGTGCATCTGCCAACTTGAGTTGTTGCACGTACACCTCTGAATTCTAAACTGGAGCCAGGCTTACTTTCAGCAACCATCAATTTGTATGTTTCCAAACATTTCCAAATAGGCTTTCTTTGACAAAAACACATCCCAGACCAGCACCTTTTATGTGGCTCAAGCTTTCCTTTTCTGCCATCATGTCCCATCCCTCATTTTTTAGAAACACAAGAAATGTTTTGGATGAGATAACCAGCACAGCCAAGGAAACTCCACTGTTATGAACTCAGGTTATTCTGTTTTGTTCCATAAATGAACAGAGATTTATTGAAGGACACCTAAGCTTTTAAAACCTAAGCTCTCTTGTATTTGAATACAGTGTGATAAATAAGCCGGGAAATATGAAGCAAACATACGAAAGACAAACAGGAAAGGAACTTGGAAGCCTTAAAGGGAGACATTCTGATGGGGCAAAGGGGGATTATTCCAGTCCTCTCTCGCCATGCTCCTTCCTTGCCTTAAATCTCAGTGAGATGGTCCAAGAGTAAATCCACTAGAATTTGGCTAAAGTGCAGGGGGTGGGGAATAGTATGAAGGAACTGTACAAGCACTGCACAAATAGCCATAATATCACATCTGGGTATTATTATTACTACATTTGTTTCAATACTTTAATACTTTAAGGTTGAATACCACTGTTTCAATGTTTCTCCAATGGCTACCAGCCATGATGGCAAGGTTCTCCCTCCATCGATGGTGGCAGTATGCCTCTGAAAGTCAATTGCTGGGCATCACAAGTGCTCAGAGTACTGTTGCATTCAGGTCCTGCTTTTGGGCTTCCCAATAGGGCATTTGATTGGCCACGGTGAGAGCAGGGTGCTGGATCGAATGGGGCATTGGCCCAATATAGGGAAGGTACCAAACTGATACATCCCTGCTACAGAAGAAGTGTATCGAGAAGATCTTATCATGGATAAGATCAGCAAAATAAAGAGTAGAATTGGATCAAAAATATATCGGGAGGTCTATTACTCATCAGGTGCTGTGGTCTAAGCCACTGAGCCCGTTGGGCTTGCCGATCAGAAGGTCAACCTAGCAGTTCGAAAGCATACCAGTGCAAATAGATAAATAGGTACTGCTGTGGTGGGAATGTAAATGGCGTTTCTGTGTGCTCTGGTTTCCGTCACAGTGTCCTGTTGTGCCAGAAGCAGTTTAGTCATGCTGGCCACATGACCCAGAAAGCTGTCTGTGGACAAACACCAGCTCCCTCGGCCTGAAAGTGAGATGAGTGCCGCACCCCATAGTCACCTTTGACTGGACTTAACCGTCCAGGGGTCCTTTATCTCCTTTTTATCTCCTCTTTCGACCCAAGAACCACATTCAACCTTTGTTCCCCAAAGTTGGTATTGTTAACATGTCCATTCCAACCCATCACTCTTTTGTATCAGCTCATTACAAAACAAAGTCTAGAATGTTCCATCTCCAGTGTTGTATATATACAGGAGAAGTATTTTTACAAAGAGTCCTAGACTTCTGCTAACAGTTTATGCTGGGAGAGGAAAGGTTGACAAGTTGAATTTATTTGATCGCTATAAAGAGACTTGGTCTATAAGGTGTTTCCCACCAATGCCACCATTCCTTGTAGAAGTTAGGTGGCAGTGGGGAGGGCAAAGCTTTTAAATTTATAGGCTAACCCCAAAGCTTTACCAGATGACATAATGTTTATCTTGAGATAAGATTTAAATAATATTTGGATTATCAACCATTACGCAGATTGGCTGAGGATGGCAAGTTTATTTGCTAACATGAGGTTGGTAGAGAAACAAAGTTGCCCTGGTCTCTTTCTGGATACTCTCAGGTGGCCATGAAAAGACTCAACATGGTGGGTTTCCCCTTCCACATCGTAAACTGGTTTTATTTACAGTTGTATTGTGCTGGAGATTTACGTGAAACAAGGTAATGGGAAAGATCCAGTAAACAGTGGAAGGAGAGGCCAAGGAGAGTTCAGTAAACCATGTTTCACATGGAGTGAATCACACCACAATCCAAGCTCCTTTGTGCTGGCTTGGGGGTAGTTGGATTGGATGGAGGTGTCCCTTCACTGAGCTCCCTCAGCTTCTGCCAGCCTCTGTCCAATGTCACTCTGCCAGCATGGAGCTCACTATTCTGCCTGCCAAATGTATGGGACATCAGCATCTGGGGACAGAGAGGCAGAGCAGGCCTGGGATCTGCTGGGAACTCAAGGCAGACCGTCTACCACCCCATGACAGCAACTAGACCCAATTTGGGCCCAACTCCTGTGCCAGCTCTAGGTTGGTGCAGAGATTTGCAAGCTTCCCAGCTTCTGCCCCAACCAGTGCATAGGAGCCAATTCCTAGGGGCAGAGGTCCTTCCAGTCCCCCCAATAAATTATTCAAGGGGCTGGGCCTCCCCAAAGTTGATGAGCATTGGCCTTCAAATGGTATGTGTGCACCATGTCTTGTGATCAATTATGTGGGGTGGGGCTTACCTCCCCCCATATTTTATTCATGTTGGTACCATTGAGCTACCAGCATGAGCAACAGATGTGGTAAAGGTAAAGGTAAAGGGACCCCTGACCGTTAGGTCCAGTCGTGACCGACTCTGGGGTTGCGGCGCTCATCTCGCTTTACTGGCCGAGGGAGCTGGCATACAGCTTCCGGGTCATGTGGCCAGCATGACTAAGCCGCTTCTGGTGAACCAGAGCAGCTCACAGAAACGCCATTTACCTTCCCGCCAGAGCGGTACCTATTTATCTACTTGCACTTTGACGTGCTTTCGAACTGCTAGGTGGGCAGGAGCAGGGACCGAGCAACAGGAGCTCACCCCATTGCAGGGATTCGAACCGCCGACCTTCTGATCGGCAAGTCCTAGGCTCTGTGGTTTAACCCACAGTGCCACCCGAGTCCCTGTCCCCAACAGATGTGGTAGCCTCTCTCTATTTCTAATTTATGACACTTTTGCATCTACTCACTTGTATATCTGCCCAATCCTTCATCTATCGATATTTTTTTTAGCCCTCAAGAAATTTGGAATACAAGAGGGGGAGGGGTGGGGAAGTCCTGGAAAGATGTTAATGAAAATAAGGTTTTAAATGCTTTTTTCCTTTTTCTTTTTTTTCCTTTTTTTTCTTTTTTTATGTTTTGGATTTTTTGGAAACTTCAATAAATATGTTTTAAAAAAAACAAAACAAGAAATTTGTATTTAAATATGTATTTTCAATCTATTTTCTTTTAAAATTCATTTCTAAATGTGTTTCCTCTCTAATTCCCACCCCGCTTGAAGCCAACATTTCAGCACCTGGCCCTCTCTCGATGGATCTTAGGCTTCCAATAGACCTTGCAGACCTGATGTCTGTCTGCTTGCCCTGGCTCTGCAGAATACTTAGGGTAATGTACAACCCTTCCCTGTCTGCAACATTTTCAGCTGAGATGGTTAAAGTACTGACAAGAGACCATTGAGAAGAGAATAGCACAAACCCACTCTTTCTATCTCTAGTCTACAATAAGTAGCAAAAGAAGCAAAACAAAGATTGGGAGAGCAATCCGTACAGTACCTGCCAGAGCTTGCAAGTGAGTGCAGGAAATGTATCCCACAATTCTTTGGTCCTGAGGTGTACTTCCCACTTGCACCTGGGAGGAAAATAAGAGAGGAACAGAAGGGTTAATGGACAACCACCAGACCTTTCAGGATCAAAACCCATTAACTGCAGGGAAAACATGAGAACTATTTTTTTTTTGTAGCAAAGGTCTCAGGTAAGCAGAACTGTTCTCAGAGTAGACCTATAATGAGAAGAGGCGCTGGTTGTTCTTCTTGGGGGTTTTTAGGTGAATTTTGCAACATGCCCTTGATGCAATAATAGTGGGTTAGTGATAGCTTTATACGGGACCATCCACATATCATACTGCTTTATTACTTGTATTGTGATGCTTCCCCAATGTTACAACACAAATACCATCTGGAGGGGCACCCTTGCACTATAGTGCAAAGAAAAGAGGAGAAGATCCAGAACACAGACACACACACAGCTCTCCTCTTTGCCTGAGGGGAATCTGAGAGCCCATTCTCAGTGGGAGCATGAGAAGAGGACAATAGGTGAACCTTAAATGAACTTCATTAAGGACTCCTAGCCATGGTCTTGCTTTTGGACCAGAAGAGGCACCTGAGACCAGGATGCTGGACTAGATGGGTTTTTGGCCTGATCCAGCAGCAGGGATCTTTTCAGGTATTGTTGTTTTATTGCTATGGCCAATGGCTGACGCAAATAAAGATCCATTCATTCATTCATTGTTTTCAGATAATTATCTTCTTAACATTTGGCTTGACAACATTTCTTTCCTATGGTTCCAGGGTTGATCCTGCATTATGACTTCCTTACCACTGAGTATTTTTGACTACAGTGATACCTTGGTTCTCGTACTCTCCGTTCTGGGAGTCCTTTCGACTCCTGAAACCATTTGGAAACCAAGGTGCAGCTTCTGATTGGCTGCAGGAGCTTCCTGCACTCAAGCAGAAGCCGTGTCAGACATTTGGCTTCCAAAAAACGTTCACAAACCGGAACACTTACTTCCGGGTTTGCGGTGTTTGGGAGCTGATTTGTTCGGGAGCCAACCATTCGAGAACCAAGGTACCACTGTATATACTTTAAAGGATTTCTGTTGAGTGGCAAAGCATCTATAATCCACCTTTTCATGCAGGAACCAAACAGGCAACACGTCGCCCCAGATGCTTGATGAACTCTCCTGCAAAGGCACCTCACTCAATCATTCATTTCAAGGTTTGCTGCAGGCTTGAAAGTAGCTGCATTCTATCTCCACTCTTAATCAGTTTCTGGAAATCACAAAGGGGGGGGAGGAGTGTTGCTATTGCTCTCCTGCATGTGGGCATCCCATAATGGACATCTGGTTGGCCTCCTTGGGAACAGGATGCTGGAGTAAATGAGCCTGATCCAGCAGGGTTCGTCTTATGTTTTTATGGTTCTGTGATGGCAGGAAGACTACCATTTTCTCTCTCTACTCCCCGACAACCCTTTTCTGTTCCTTTAGCAGGGTGAAATTTGCACCAATCTTGCACCTACTCTGACTTCATTATCCAGGCTCCCCCTGTGCCCAACAAGTCAGGCATATTATACTACCCAAAGGGTCTGGGGGGTGGGAGCCATTGGAAGTGATCTTGCCAGAAGGCACATTTCACATTTGCTCTTGATTTCAAGTTGATCTTTCATTGGGGAACAATGAGATGGACAGAAATGTTGGTAGAGCCTACAATTAATCAGTAACCTCAACAAGGAGCATAACTTTGCAGGCTTAGTCACCACCCTCCCAATAAGACCATTAATTCTAGAGTCTAAAATTACCCAATTGCACTGCCTCCTCTTGCCCCAAGTGAGATTTTTAGGCCTTTACGCAGACAAGGACAAGGGGAAAGCCATTGTGGGCACTTGCGTTGATAAGGCCACCTCTGGAACAACTAAAAACGATGTGAAGATTTATTTCCCCTTTTACTTCTACATTTTTGCATTGTTCTCAAGCACAACTGGGTTCTATTGGGAAGTGTATTTTAGGAAGCATGGGCAGCCAGTGAAACTATAAACAGCTGTTCAGAGAGCATGGTCCCCCCCCCCAAAGTTAAAGGACAAATACACACCCAGCCCTCACCAGACTTGTAAAATTAAGGCAGGTTCTGTGCCAAAATCCCACACCCCAGAGGATTTCTTTTCTCTGCCCCTCACAAAAGAGGCAGAAGAACTACAGCTTTTTTCACAGGGCTGGGTTGCAATTCTCGAAAAGGATGGGCAGGCTTCTGCCCAGCACAACATGATATGCTGCCCCCAGCGATCACCAGTGAGAGTGTCTCTTTCAGGGCTCTCCATAGGGGAGATTTTTCTCAGGGCCACAACGGATGAAGAAAGTGGCACCCCTTCCTTCTGTGCACTTGCAATGAAAATTGGGGCCCTCTGCACCTAAGAATTTCATTTTGGAAAAGGATGCAAATGATTTCCGCTGAATACTAGCCCTGAGAATCGCAAGGGAGGGCAGAGCTGTTGCACTCTACTCCTGCTTGCGGACTTCCTGTTGAAGCATGAGTTTGGCCACCATAAGAACATGATGCTGGACCGTGATGGGCCAGACCTGACAGGACTTTGCTTTTTTATGTTTTATCTCTTAGAGCCTCATTTTCTTACGTCTTTTAACCCTCTGGTAGGCATTTAATTAGTGACTGCAGAATGCTAGTAAATCATATGCAATACATTTTCAAAAACACAGGCTTTCCAGCTTGCCTCTTGCTAAGTTGAGAACACAGGTGCAGCCTTTCAAGGACACTTGAGGGCAAGACAAAAAGGCACATTCACCTCAAAGCTTTGGAAATGCATTTTCTTCTCTCCGATGTGCTGACTGCCTGCTGCATATTTGGCTTCAAACTGGGGTCGAACAAGATTTACAGAAATCCCTTTTTATGAGTTGGCATTCTTGCCCTCTTGCCTGCAGAGATTTATTGTACTTTACAAAGCAGCTATGCTATGTTAATATATTATTTAAGCACGCTAAAACAGAATTAAATGTAAGTATGAAATGTTAATGGAACTAGCTCTAATCATTCGCTGGTTCCTTCCATCCACCCTCACTGCTTGGAGTGCCTGGTGGCGTAACATAGCAACTTGTGGAACTCTCTGCCACAAGATGTGGAGTAAGCTACTATCTTAGATGGCTTTAAAAAGAAAAATATTGGACAAAATAGGTGCTAGGCGATTAACCATGATAACTAAATGCCTTGCCAAAAACTAAATGCCATTGCACACAAATATTGTAGAGTTGTCAATTTTGGTGCTGACCCATAGCTGTCCCTTTAAAAGCACATTGTGGTCCAGCAATCAGAAGTTGATGATTTAAGCAGAGGGAGGAACCTTTTTCAGCCCAAGATTCCATTCTGGGCAACTGTTTCAAGGGCCACATATTAGTGGGGGGTGGGACCAGAGGCAAAAGTGGGTGGAGCAACTAATGCAAATTCTACCCTTGTACGGTAAGCTAATTTCTACACACTCTCACAAGGGCCTCTATTCCTGCAAGCAAGCAAACAAGCGGCACCATAAGAGTACAAGGGCACATTCCAGTAAGTCAAAAATACTCTGGATGTGAAGCAAAGCCAGTGAGGGAATGTGGCCTTGGCAAACTACAGAGGGCCAGATAGGGAGGACTGGAGGGCTGCATTCAGCCCCCAGGCCTGAGGTTCCCCACCAGATTTAAGCTCTGTGCAAAAGAATTTAACCTGCAGGTTTTAGCAGACAAGACACATCTGTTTAAAGGTAGAGGAGCAAGGCAGTTAATTTTTTTTCTGGTCATTTGGCAGCACTACAATCATTGAAATAATTGGGATCAAATGCAGATGCTAAAGAAATACAAGGCAAAATGTTTGTGCTCCAGTTCAGGATTCCAGCCAGCCTTGCTGGCTGTGCTCCTTTCCATGATACTCCATTCCATTTTTTTCTCCCCCAAGCTTCCTTCTCAACCTTCCAGCATTCAGTCAGCATTCAGTGTGGCCATGAAGCATCCTCTTGTTGAATGGTCTCTTTAAATTTTGAGGTTCATTATTGTTCCACAAGATGTGTATTTCTTTAAAGGCCAGAGCAAATAACGTGACCTAGTTTTACAGCTGTGAAGCAGTATAGCAGGTGCTGTTAAGTTGTGGTAATTAAGCTGTTGGGTATGGTATATAAAGAGCAGCATGGAGCTCTCTCAGTACCCTGGTGGATGGGTCATGCTTATTGATATATTGTAATTTAGTGTAAAAGGAGTTTTTGTTTTTGTTATTAAAACCTAGCAAAAGTTATTTTGCGTTTCCTGAATGTGTGGTCTCCCCAGCACGCCTTCTGCAGCGCAACTAATCTGCAAATAGCCAGCACCTCTACCCCCACTTGGGTGTTCTGGGGTCCTTCCCCCCCCCCATTTATGGTTTTATCCCTTAAATATATTTTGTATACTTCTGCAAACCATGGGAGTTCCCTTGAATCTTCTATTACCTCCCTCTTGTGCATTTTTCCAGGCAGATTTTAAAGGATTTTCCATTACAAATTTGCCTGGAAACAGGATGAGGCAGACTTAGTCCCATCCTCTCTGAAAACTGGGATGGATCAGACTTTTATAGGTCAAAATCATCCCTATGTGCAACAGTCCCATTGCCAGGAACCTCTGAAAGGTAAAGGAAGTGAATGAATGTGGTGGCAACTAAATGCCCCGTTATCTCTACAATGGTGATTCCCAGTTATAAAGGAAAGCAGGAAACAATAAGATAGCTAATCACATTCTTATTTAAAGGAGGGCCTATTCTGCTTAATAGTCAAAGGCAAGAGCTGCCCACTGTTGCTTTTCTCTTAAGATTCTCGTGCATCTAGAATGTGTGGAATCCAGCCAAGTCTTGCATTAGCAGAGGCTGTGTGTGTGTATATATAAATATTTAGATTACTGCCTAGGAATAAATGGGAAGCTGCTTTTAAAAGCTGATGCAGAAATTCCCAGGAAAGGTATGTAGGCAGAAATAAGAACGAGGTGATTGCAAAACCCTAGAATGGTTACTAAACCTCTGAGGGTTTGTCCATCTGTACTTGTAAATAGGCAACACAGTGGGACTTATCACA